GCCCCCTAAGCATGGGGGTCTTCTGTTCCAGCACGCGCTGCCACGTGGCAGGACAGATGGCCACGTGCCCAGCCAACAGCAGCCAACGGCGGGGGGGGGGGGGGGGTAAATAGCCAGCACGGCACCTCTTCAACATGAGTGTGTCGTGCTACAAAACCATGGACACACTGTGGCGAGTGTGTTATGGCAGTGGTATACGCACGCGCAAGCCTGGCAGCTGCCTGGGTTCAAATCTCAGCAGCCACAGCTGCATCCCGGATCTTGAAATATAGATATATTCGGGAGCGGGGCGGGGCAGCGGGGCAGCGTGGTGCGTGCGTGTGCGTGATGCGGCGGCCTTGGCCTTGGCGCTTGCGCGCACGCATCGTGATGCGGCTTCCTTTTTCGCCACGTGGAACTCTCCTGCTGCAGCACCTTTTTTTGTTGTTTTTCTCGCTTTTTCGCGCGAAAACGCCCCAAAAACAGCCGAAAACCCGACTGTCGGGGTTTGCCGTATTTCCCTGCTGTGCGGTGTGGTGGGCGGGGGCGGGGACCGTTCCCGCTCCGATACCAATGTAGCGGACCCACCAGGTGTGGTGCTCCGCTAGTGACAGAGATGGAGATGGAGGAAGAAGGAGGGAGCAAGGTGCATAGCGCAACTCCCCACGCAGACTCCAACGCATGTACTCCGAAATGTGCAACTGAAGAATGAGACTGAAAACAGACAACTGCTGGGGTATACCCCAGCGGACTGACGGGACTGGACTGGACTGGACTGGCGGGTACCGACAGGTACCGGCCTGGACTGGGCTGGACTGGACTGCCCCCGAATAGAACACAGGTGTCACAGGCAAACCAACCAGAGGTCCGCTACACTTCCTCTCTCTCTCTCTCTTCATACCATCCCAATACGGGCAGTTCATCGCCACGCACCCACACAGAGTTGTCACCCCGCTTGGCCTGAACATGCAAGCCACGTTCGCCCATGTGCCACAGTTCATTGGGGTCATCCAGCACTAGCTCGTCGGATCGCCCAACTCTCTACTCACCTTCCGACTCTTGCTCGTTAGCCGATCCTCTCGACCTCGCTAACTCCAAAAATTCATAGAGAGCGAGTTAGTCGCGCTTGCAAAATTTATAGCATGAGTGTTTGCGTGAGATACCGGGGATTGTGCTTGAGTGGGAGGGAAGAAGGAGGAAGGAAGTGCCTACGACTGCATGGCCAGGCCGCGGCGTGGGTGACGTAGCCACACTCCACACATCGATCCAGTTATGCAATCGTTCGAGCCAATAGGACAGGGGGGAAAGTATGCGCGTGCAAGGGCGCAACGAAGATATCAAGAAAGAGAGGATTACAGTTACATTCACGCCTCCCAAGAAGAGAATTACAGTTACACGTAAGATTAAGGCACGGAAAAGTCAGAGCACAAATCCTGATGCGGCAAAGCGTGCAGTTGTTAGCAACTGTGTGTCTATTCAACATGCAAAGGAAAAATATCAACGTCGTTGTACCCGTTGAATAGCCCCCGGGGCCCCGTTGAATCCCTGTTGAATAGTACAATGGACCCTCACCGTTGAATACTGTTCAACGAGGAGGGCGCATTGGACCTTGGACACGTCACTGGACGCGCCTGGAGCAAAAAAAAATTGTCATCCTGTTGAATCCCGTTGAATCCCCGTTGAATCCTCATTGAATCCCGTTCAATCGCCGTTGAATCCCGTTGAGCAAAAAAAAAAGATGGGCATCAGGGTTGGTTTTTTATTTTTTCTTATGTTTTTAATGGATGAAGATAAACAAATGGGTGTGTGGTGTTTGAAAAACCGTACACGCCCATATTTGTTTTTTCTAATTTTGACAGTTGTTGTT